GCTCTGACACGTCAGCTCTGACACGTCTGCTCTGACACGTCAGCTCTGACACGTCAGCTCTGACACGTCAGCTCTGACACGTCTGCTCTGACACGTCAGCTCTGACACGTCTGCTCTGACACGTCAGCTCTGACACGTCAGCTCTGACACGTATGTTCACACTCGATGTCACACAAGACTATTGGGAAAGTACAAGATGGCTACCACCGTAAATACCCGTCCATGATGTGAGCGTGATAACTTTAAAAATAAGAGGTACCGATGTCCATCTTGGTGTGTGGCTACATCTAGATGTAAGAAAAAAATGGGTTGTCCAAACCCAAGATGGCCGCCATATATTTACGTATATATACATATATGTGACCCAACCACCCTGATCATTTGAGGAAACTTTGCTTTATCCATCCATCCATTATCTTTACCCGCTTATTCCATTTTGGGTCACGGGGGTCGCTGGTGCCCATGTCCAGCAATCACTGTGCGAGGGGCGGGGGACACCCTGGACGGGTCTCAAGTCCATCACAGGGACACATAGAGACAAACGAGACAAACAACCATTCACTCTCTCACTCACACCTAGGGACAATTTAGAGTCACCAATCAGCCTAACATGCATGTTTTTGGTCTGTGGGAGGAAACCGGAGTACCCGGAGAAAACCCACGCATGCACGGAGAGAACATGCAAACTCCACCCAGAAAGGCCCCTGGACCGGGGTTTGAACCAGGGACCTTCTCGCTGAGAGGCAGCAGCTCTACCAGTTGCACCACCGTGCTGCCCACTTTGCTTTATATTGTTTAAAATTATAGTTTCCTCTAAGGATCATGGTGTCCCTTGGGGCACCTGGTGGGTAAATTAGTTCCCTCCAGGATACGTCACTCTGCGCTGCATCAATTAAACAAAATTTTAAAAACTCCCTCTGTTCTGCACCGCACTGTAACTCCTACCCACTCGAATGTCTTTCACCAAAAAACATTTAGGTTTACTTGCATTCCTTTTTAATTCCAGTCCAGAAAAACACTCATCTCAGAAACTACAAACATTCACTCTTCAAGTCTCTCAGCGACGGGGAACATCTGTGTTTGTTAATTTTATACATGACGCCAGCAAAGCATTTTAAAAATCTTGAGGGAATCCTGGAACATTTGTTAAACTCTAAAAAAACCAAAAAACAAAGTTTTAATTTTTCCTCATCTGACAAAAATGTTGATTATTTCCTCAAAGAACTTTAGGAAACAACTCTGTCTTCCTCTGTCGTATTATCAAATTACCTGAAGAATCACTGGACACGTTTTATTATACCTGTTAGAACATAAGCTGGACTTTTACAAAAGGTTTTTATTTTATTATTTTTTATTACCTCAATTCAAACAGTCAGAAACATCATGACTGTAATAAAATATCCATAATGTTGTGAATTTTACAGATGTTGATCAAAATAAAATGATGGTAGTAACATCTTTATAAAGTTTGATCAAAACAGCTGTAACTTTTTATTATAAAATGATCTGATTTCAAAACTGTGGCCTGAAAGGCGATGGGCGATATGCATTCATTTAACACCTGCCAGGTCCTTAATAAAAGTATGCATGTAGAGGAGGGTGGTCATTAACTGAACATGTTATGTTTACTACTTACAGTATAATTTTAGTGTGAGTAAAGTTTGGATTGGACTGTTGTTTAAAAATAATTAAACCACCGTCAAACAGCTGTGATCTAACAGCTGTGATCTAACAGCTGTGATCTAACAGCTGTGATCTAACAGCTGTGCTTCTTTTGCCTCGGCATGCTTTGCATTCTTCCACTGAACTTTAAAACACGTGTTGATTCCTGCATCGTGCCTTTTGACTCCTCTGCCAACACATTTCTACAGATGAATGCGAGCGCACGTCTGGTGCCGCACTGCTTGGGTCTCGTTCTGTGATCGTCTTCTGTGATCGTGGTAATCCACCGAGCTTCAGTCAGCATGTGGACCACACCATTAAATGTTGTGCCCGTGTCGTCGTCCAAGAAGCTCAAAGATTTTATTTGGATCAATCTGACAAACAGCTAAAGAGTTACACTTGATATTAGGACAAATTGGGAGTTGGAATGTTGGTTGACTGAGTCAGATTAATTTAGCAATTTGGTTTTTTGCAAAAAGTTTTTTTTTATTATTATTTTGTAGCAATATTCTGTCAAATATCACTAATAATTAGTATATTATCAGCCGTGACATCAGTCACAGAGCACAGATTATAGACAGGCTAATGACTAGCCAAACGAGGGCACGTTTAAAGTTTTTCTTGCTTATAAAACCAATTTTTCAAAAATGACAAATCTGTGTGAAAGAACATTCTGATACATCTGATATTAAACTTGTGCATGACACTGTGTATTTGTTGATTCTTGTCCCGTCATGGAGCGAGGAGGGGACATTAGATACCATCCGTCCATGCATGTTGTCAGCGTGATAACTTGAAAATAAAGGAGGTACCG